GGATGATGACGTGAGGGTAGTTAGGAGGGCCCTGCTAGGGGTAATAGAGATGCAGGAGCATCAGACTACCATCCTTCATGACATCCAGCAGAGCCGAGCCATTTTGGTAGGGCGTTCTCAGGCAGCGCCATCACTGGCAGGGCTGTGTGCTTGGCCTGTGCCATATCCTCCCTTCTCTGTCCCACCGGTCACTGGGGTATCCCCATTTGTAGCCCCGTCGACGGTTGCTGTCGTTTCCCTGGGCATGCCGCTCTCAGGAGGGCTATCAGCAGGTCCTAGTGTTCAGGTTCCAGTACAGTCAGTGGTCACCCAGGTTCCGTCACAGGTTGCCATTAGTGGGCAATCTATTGTCTCCTAGTCTGTGCAGCCACAGAGCACACAGCCCCCGCAGCTAGCACAACAACCTGTATCACCGGGTCCACATCCGGGGTTGGTGCAGGGACCGGGACAAAGTCAGTGGGTTCCAAAGACGGCCATCGCCGCTCCCAAACCCTTTACAGGGGACTAGAGAGGCGAAAACCTCGACGCTCGGTTGAGGGCAGTGCCGATCTATGTCAAGTGTAAACTCACCTTGCCACACGAAGAAGTGCTTGTGGCTGCATCCTACCTAGAGGGTAGTGCAGCAAGATGGTTGAGTGGGTTAGTACAACTCCAGGGGCACGATCATGACTTCCGCTCTTGGGCAGCCTCTCAGAAATTGAAGGACTTCCTGAAGATGGTGGAAGAAAGATGGCATGATCCTCAGGAGGCCGAAAAGGCCACTGATGCGATCCTGACACCGCACACGAGGCAGTAGAAGTTAGTAAGGGAAGCCACAGACGCTGTAGAGCGTCTGATCTGTGTTCCAGGGGTGCGCTATGACCCCCAGGTCCTGTTGACTTCGTACTTGAGGTGCTTATCCCAGCCTCTCAAGAACCAGTTGGCAAAAGAGGCCAACATCAATATGCACAACTTTCCCTCGTTTAGCAAGGTAGCCCTAGACCTTGAAGCAAAAATAGGGCATGGACATAACTCAGTGACGGACGAGAAAAAGAAGACCCTGCCTCCTAACTGGAAAGCCAAGGGCCGCATTATGTTCGTCGACCACGATGGATCAACCATTGAGTTGGACGACGACTCCCAGTTAGGAGTAGGTGCAGAGGCATGTGGCGATACTTCAGAGGGTGGAGTAGTGGCCGCCGTAACCCAACAAAAAGGTAAGGGGACCGGTAGACGCCGAGGGGGCTCCCGGTTTAGGAATCAAGTTGACCCCAATGCTCCTCCATGGGAGAAAGCGGGTCTTTCCGAGGACGTGTGGAGAGATCGGTGGAACCGTCAGGCTTGCATCCGTTGTGGTCAATACGACCATAACCAGTTCAAATGTAGGAACAAGAGGGTCACCGATAAGATTCCGCCTACTATGGGGCAGGCGGTAGGATCCTTATCTCTTGTAGGTAGCAATGTTGCCAGTTCATCAGGCACTGCTTCGGGAAACACGTCAGACCAATAGGAATAGTAGCTGTTCCTACTAGGGACGAGGTGGTGTAGACACCCTCGCCATCTCACATTATGGCCTAAGCTACTGATTCCCTTGTCGTCCCGCAAACGCATTCAGACCCATCGACCCTTTGCTCGATGAATGTGTTCGAGTCCTAAGAGGAGCTAGAGGAGGAGTGGTCTAGACTAGACCCGCTAGCTTCTTGGACGGCATTAGCTAAAGCCCCGAAGGGTGAGATGTTCGTCAGCGAGATAGTCGTAGGCGGCCGCAAGGCCGGGGCCTATTAAGACACTTGCTCGACACGGAACTTTATTAGTCGCGCATGCGTTGAGAGGCTGCGTTTACAGGGGCAAGTGCAGCGCCTGAGTCGACCTGTGGAGTCGACCTGTGCCAACAAACAGCATATGGTAGTCAATGACTACCTTGAGGATGTAGAATGCCTGTTCCCGTTCGCGGGAGGGGAGTTGAGGCATCGTGTCTCATTCCTAGTGAGCGACGATCTCCCTATGGATATCTTGTTAGGTATGTACTACCTCTCTGTGGCACAACCTCAGTTTGACTGGGACCGAAAAGTGGTCAAGCACACTTTGCCAAGTGGAGGGACCACCAGATTACACAAGTTCAAAGCTAATAGTCTGATCGATTCTCATGGATGCATGTGTGCGGCCGCGTTCTATAACTACTATAAGCAACATCAGGAGGAGGGTACGTACTTAGTTTATGTCTCTGCTGCAGACGAGCCGGTTAAAATGCCGCCGGAGATAGAGGGAGTAGTTGCCAAATACCCTGATCTATTTGAAGAGCCAACAGGGGTTGTTGATAGGGAGGTCGTCCACGCGATAGATATTATCCCTGGGTCTAGTATTCTGAAGGGTAGGATCTATCGGATGTCTCCAGGCGAGCTTGATGAGCTTCGCCGCCAACTCGAGGAACTCGTAGAGAAGGGTTGGATCCGACCGAGTGTCTCTCCTTACGGATCTCCAGTACTATTCGTACCTAAGAAGAAGGAGGGCACTCTCAGGATGTGCATTGATTATAGGGGTCTCGATGCCATCACTGTAAAGAACAGAGAGCCCCTACCGCGCATCGACGATCTGTTAGATAGAGTGCAAGGGTGTCGGTACTTGAGTAAGATAGATTTGAAGTCCGGGTACCATCAGATTGCAATCCGGCCCGAGGATCAACACAAAACCGCATTCAGACCAGGTACGGTCTGTACGAGTTTGTGGTGATGCCTTTTGGCCTGTGCAATGCTCCTGGCACCTTTCAGCACGCTATGAATCGGATATTCCATGACTACTTGGATAAGTATTTCATCGAGTACCTCGATGACATACTTATTTTTAGTAAGACTGTCGAGGAGCACGTTGCACACTTGGACAAAGTCCTTAGTCTCCTGCGACAACACAAGTTCAAGATCAACGGTGAGAAGTGTGAGTTTGGGCGCACCCGTGTCTTGTACTTGGTCATGAGATCTCCGCGGAAGGGTTGAAGCCCGATGGCGCGAAGGTGACCAGCATTCATGATTGGCCATGACCTCAGTCTGTGACTGAGATGAGATCCTTCTTAGGAATGACAGGCTACTACCGGACTTTTGTAAAGAACTATAGCGTAGTGGCCGCTCCTTTGACTGATCTGACCCGCCTTTATACCCCGTGGGAGTGGACAGATGAGTGCGCGGCTGCTTTCAAACATCTGAAGCATGCACTAACACATTATGAAGTCTTGAAACTTCCCGATCCTGATAAGCCGTTTATAGTAACCACGGATGCTAGCCAATATGGCATTGGCGCCGTGCTTGCGCAGCAGGAGGGGCCAAAGTTGAGGCCTGTTGAGTACATGTCCAAGAAAATGCCGTCTCAGAAGTTGGCTAAGTCCACCTATGAGAAAGAACTCTATGCGGTGTTCAAGGCGCTGACTGGAGACACTATCTCCTCGGGAGGTTCTTCATCCTCAGGACTGATCATCAAACCTTGAGATGGATGAGAACTCAGCCTGTACTCTCTGACGCATTGAAGCGTTGGATAGAAGTCATTGAGCAGTATGACTTTGACCCTCAGTACATCAAGGGTGAGTACAACAAGGTTGCTGATGCCTTGTCGCGTAGACCTGACTTCTCAGGTGGGCTGATACTGAGTACGATCTTACGGATGATGTCACTCGATCCTTGGTGGAAACCTATCGAGAGGATAAGTTCATGTCTGAAATCATACGCAGACTCGAGGCAAAGGATAAACAAACTTCAGCCGAGTTTGAGTTGGTCAATGGCTTGCTGTTTCTCGAGAAGGAAGGGAATAAACGTTTGTGTGTCCCTGATAAAGAGTCTTTGCGTAGTCTGTTTCTAGGCGAGTGTCACGACGCCACCGGCCATTTTGGGTACAAGAACACCGCAGCCAATTTGCTGCAAAGGTTCTGGTGGCCCACGATGTTAAAAGATACTAGGCTGTACGTGGAAACTTGTCAAGTTTGCCAACGAGACAAGCCCCGTACTCAGGCTCCTCTTGGGCTGCTCAAGCCCCTTCCGATTCCGGAAAGGCCGGGTGAAAGCTTGTCCATGGACTTCATGGATACGCTGGTCACCAGCAAGAGTGGGATGAGGCAGATCTTCGTTATCGTGGATAGGCTTAGTAAGTATGCTAGGTTAATAGCCATGCCGGAAACAGCGAAGACCGAGTATGTAATTAGGCTGTTCAAAGAGAACTGGGTGAGGGATTTTGGATTGCCAAAGTCTATTGTAAGTGACAGGGATGTCGGATTTACAAGTGAGTTATGGAAGGCCGCTGCAGCTGAACAGGGAACTCAACTGCAAATGACTTCTGGAAACCATCCAGAAGCAAACCGCCAGGCTGAACAGATGAACCGCGCTGTTCAACACCTGTTGAGGCATTACATTAAGCCCAACCAGGTGGACTGGGACGAGAAGCTTGCTCTTGTCGCCAATCTGTACAATAACGCCGTACACAGCGCTACCGGAGTAAGTCCTAATAGTCTACAACTTACCTTTAGGCCTAGACTGCCCTTAGACTTCCTACTTCCTGATAAACAGCCAAATGTTGCACCAAGCACTTTGGAGTTCGCTTATCGTTACGAACAGAAAATACAGGAGGCTGTAGAGCACATGCAGAAGGCGCAGGCAACAAAGATAGAATCTGAGAATAAACACCGCCGACCTTCTACATTTCAGGTTGGGGACAGAGTCTGGGTCAAGTCTTCAGAATTGGGACAGGTGTTCGGGATATCCCGCAAACTCATGCCTCAGTACTTTGGACCTTGGGAAGTTTTAGACGTAGTAGGGACAGATACTGATGGTCCATCTTATGTCATTCGTATCCCTGGTCACCTCAGAACTTACCCAGTCTTTCACGCTCGCTGCGCTCAAGGAAACTGATCAGTTTCCTTCTCGTCGATCAATGCTGCCCCCAACCATGGACGGAGAAGTCGACATCGATGATATCGTCGACCACAGGGAGATGCCTGTTCAGAAGCCTTCGGGAAGGGGACGTCCTCCGAATCCAAAGCTGCAGTTTCGTGTCCACTTCAGACATCACACAGATCCGAAGGAGGACCGCTGGTTTACGCGGGAGGAATTGATGCAGACCTCTACTCAAATCGTTGCCCGGTATGAAAAGGATGTATTGAAAGGAAAGCGCCAGATGGCTCAGGATTGATCTTCTCAGAGGACTAACGAAGATATGGAGGAGGGAATGCGAGGCTACGCCCGCTCAGCCCCTTCGGGGCCCTTTTTGCAACATGTTGGCCGCCCTAAGTGAAGGCAGGCGCGACAGGCCCTCAGGGCCTCGATTTTCAGGGTACCCCGCAACTGGTGATATTCAGACAGATGCGCTGCGCCAGTTGGTTGAAGGTGCCCAGGCCCAGGCCATATTTTGCAAATGTATCTGAATGGTGACCTGGGTCAGACACATGGGAAAGGCCGTGAGCAGGCCAAGGGGCAGTTGGGCACATGCAACAATCAGGCCCTGGGCCTGCGTGTGAGGTCTGGGCCTGTGCCTCCCGGGGCCTACTGGAAGCTTCCTGGACTGGACGCAGGCAGGCCACTTCGATATAGGGAAGGGCCTGCCTCCTCATTNCCGGGGCCTACTGGAAGCTTCCTGGACTGGACGCAGGCAGGCCACTTCGATATAGGGAAGGGCCTGCCTCCTCATTCGGCATTCGGGTGCTGGCTGCATGCTGCGCAAGCGCTGCTGCGCTATTCGCTGGCTGGCTGGCACTCACGCTTTCACGGATGAGCAGGAAGGAGCGGGCAGCCATAGCCGAGCTGCTTCGCTGTGAGCTGGGTGTGGCGCAGGGTGGTCCTTGGGTGCTAGTGGTATCTGTGTGGTGTGGATCGGTGTTGTGAGTGTTGCGAGAGACATAGGGATCGAGCCTTGGGATCGAGCCCCGGGATCCGCATCTGTGTCTGCAAAAAGGTGATAACCGTTTCACTCCTGCCGGCCTAAATTCGATGTCCTCGGAGAATACTTCAGTCCACGACTGGACTTTTACCTTTCTCCTCTCTCTCATAGGCGCGAACTACATCGGGAGCGGTCTCAAGCAAGTTTTGTTTGTGTTAACCAGTGGTCGTGCTTTGCTTCCTGAAAAGCGAATCTGACCTTATACTGTTTCTGTGGACGACCCCTACCTCCTGTTTTGAAGACATCTTCATCTACGATGTTGTGAATGTTGTACCTTCCATCCATGTCCGGAGGGATGACGGACCTTCGTGATGGAAACTGTCGACTTGTGATACAAGGCAGCAACTTTGACACTTGAAACACTGGGTAGGTATGCACTTGTGGTTAATAGGTGGTGTCATTTTCGACGAATTTTTCACCGAAACTACCATATTTCCCTGAATTTTCGCTTTTTTCTTGTTTTTGTTTTTTTGTCTGACATGTATGTCCTTTAGGGTATATCTGTATTCAGTTTCAGCGTATTTGGACCAATAACAAAAAAGTTGGCAAAAACACCGAATTCGGGAAAAGTTTTGGCGAACTCTGAAAGCTACTCCAAATAGGGTGTTATAGTGCTTTTTGAGTTGTTTTTTTTTTGCCTGTTTGTTTTTTTGGTGTTTGTATTATAAGCTTCCATAGTTTGTTCGCAAAATTTTCGACGACATTGCTTGTAGTGATGCGGCGAAACCCCCCGAATTTTGGGCCTTCCATTAACCATCTCTCGGTCCTCGATACGCAGGCAGTAACTTTTGCGAGATGTTCTCCTAAGGAACAAATTCTTTGAACCTGACCCAGATGCGAGGCTACGCCCGCTCAGCCCCTTCGGGGCCCTTTTTGAAACATGTCAGCCGCCCTAAGTGAAGGCAGGCGCGACAGGCCCTCAGGGCCTCGATTTTCAGGGTACCCCGCAACTGGTGAAATTCAGACAGTTGCGCTGCGCCAGTTGGTTGAAGGCGCCCAGGCCCAGGCCATATTTTGCAAATGTATCTGAATGGTGACCTGGGCCAGACGCGTGGGAAAGGCCGTGAGCAGGCCAAGGGGCAGTTGGGCACATGCAACCATCAGGCCCTGGGCCTGCGTGYGAGGTCTGGGCCTGTGCCTACCGGGGCCTACTGGAAGCTTCCTGGACTGGACGCAGGCAGGCCACTTCGATATAGGGAAGGGCCTGCCTSCTCATTCGGCATTCGGGTGCTGGCTGCATGCTGCGCAAGCGCTGCTGCGCTATTCGCTGGATGGCTGGCACTCACGTTTTCACGGATGAGCAGGAAGGAGCGGGCAGCCATAGCCGAGCTGCTCCGCTGTGAGCTGGGTGTGGCGCAGGGTGGTCCCTGGGTGCTAGTGGCATCTGTGTGGTGTGGATCGGGGTTGTGAGTGTTGCGAGAGACATACCGGGTGCTGGAAGCGTGAGGCATTGTCCGCTGTATGCTCGTACTTCAGGAAGCTGTTGTTGTCAACATCGGCATTGTAGTATTAGACTAGATAGTATCTGCCACATGTAGTCTGGGCGCCGAGCGCCAATAGGATATCAACTCTTGTTCTTCGTTGATGATGATGAGAGACTATTTCAGCATTGTCAATTACGAAGTATTGGTGTGTTCTTACTTGGTGAATCTCGTGATGCATTTCTGCTGTTGGTTCGAGGTCAAGACTATCTGGACTCATATGTATGAAGCTGTTTGATTGCTGGAGTTCGCTAATGCTCATCTTCCTTGCACAGACTAAGTCGCCTACTTAATTCTATTCTATCGAATATATAAGTTATAATTCTATAATTTACAAATAAATATATAAAAAATTACATACTAGTTCAAGTTTATTGACAAATTTATAAATTAATGTAATAAAAATACAATAAAAAAACATAAAATAATAGAAAATTTTAACATTTGATTAAAAAAAAAAAAAAGGTCATCAAGCTGATTTGCTGAATTAAGTCGAAACTGTGATGGGCGACGGTGCTTATTGGCTTGTTCTATCATTCTATGTTGGGCCTTTTTGAGGTTCTCTGTGACGGTAGCATCTCCTTTTCATAGTGTAGTGCAAACTCCCTAGTACCAAGTGGTAACCTTTGAATCTGATCCCGGTTCAGTGCCTCAAACGGTCTACGCGGTCTAAAGGACTTCTGTAACTCGTTGGGAGTGCGACACGTCACTAAGTGCACGCTGTTATTGTACGTGCTGGCTACCTTGGGAAGCATCTCATCCCAGTTAAGCTGATCAGGTCTAATATACATTCTGAAAACTTGTTGCAGGATTTTGTTCATCTGTTCAGTCTGACTGTTAGTCTCAGGGTGATAGCCAGATGACATTAACAACCTAGAGCCATAGGCTCTCATCAACTCCTGCCAGTTCTGACTAGTGAACCTGGTATCTCTGTCACTAACTATTGACAGCGGGAGACCATGTTCACTGACCCAATGATCGAAGAACTTCTTTATAACTAAAACCTGTTCGTGCCTCTGCGGATAAAGGAACAAAAACTGCATATTTACTAAATCTATCAACTATAACCATGACTTGGCTCTTGCCATGCCTACTCTTGACCCCAACATCCATAAAGTCAATGGATACAGAATCTCCGGGTCCTGTGGGAATAGGAAAGGGTTTGAGAAGACCAAGACGGGCCAGCGTAGTGGTCTTATTCTGCTGGTAGACTTTGCAACTGCGTACATACTCTATGAAGTCAGCTTTCATACCTGGCCATGTATACGCGCGTATGAGGTTGCCTAGTGTCTTTTGCCAACCAAAATGTCCCTCTGTGTCGTGACATTCCCCTAGGCTCAAACTACGAATCTCTTCACTATCGGGAATGCACAAACGGTCAGCTACGTTAGTCTTCTCAAATAGTAACCCGTTTGTAGTGCGGTAGTCTGACTCAGACTCCGGAGACTCCTTAACTCTCATGAGGAGATCACTATAAATAGGGTCCTGCGCATATGCCACTTTGACTTTCTGTTGCAAGTCTCTCCCTATATCTAGATAGTGAACCATCGCTCCAAAGTAAACAGCTCTTCATCCGCGACTACATTATATTTCCCTTTAACCGGCTTAAGCTCAAAGTCGAATTGATATATCTATGCGGCTCACCTAGTAAGCTTAGGCGTCATCTTGGCCTGTGTCTTCAACCACCACCTCAGTGTCTCGTGGTCTGAATAGACTTTGAAGAGCCTCCCAAGCAAATAGTGCTTCCAGTGCTCTAAAGCTTGCCTGAGAGAGTAGAGTTCCCTCTCGTAGGTAGATGTCGCAACCTTCTTTGAAGGCATCTTAGCAGACATGAACTCTATGGGTCTATAACCATTGCCATCGCCTTGCTATAGAACAACACCATACACAGCCCCTTTCAGAGTTCTATTGCCAGGCTCTATGTTAATGCGATGCTAGACCATACCCCTGCAGGCGGTTGAGCTAAATTTGTATGCTGCTCCAGCAGCTTGGCAATGACTGGTTCCATAGGCTTCTCTTCTTTAGGCTCAATAATAGGCCTAACATAGGTTACAAAAACCTGCTCTTCGAATTGCTACTTCCTTACTAATCGTGCAAACGCGGGAGCACTTAGACAACAATGTGCCAAGGAGTTATCTACTCCTAACACAGGGAACAGGCGAGCAGTCTTTACTTCGCCTGATGGGCTAGGGAGCCTACACTCGTGTTCTCTCAAGTTGAGTGTGGCCCCTACTGCCTCTCCCCAGTCCATTCCTAGGACCATGAACCGAGTGTCGCGGTCGCAAACGATTTCCTAACCCTTGGTTTGAATCCAACCGGCGTAGAGAACCTCGACCAACTCTGGTGCCTTGGCATGATAGCGACAAGGCAAAAACATGGCGAACTTGGTGAGTCGGTCGACTACCGTGAGAATCCCATCCACTCCGGTCTTGTGCTTGGGGAACGGGTCGGTAATGTCCATGGCAATCGCTTCCCTTTGCCTCAACGGGACCGGTAATGGTCGTAACTCGCCGTACGGATGATGGTTGCGGGATTTGCAGCGTCGGCAAACCTCGCATGACTCGCAATAGCACATGACGTCGCCGAGAAGGCCGGGCCACCAAAATCGCTGGCGAAGTCGGCCAATCGTGCGATTGACTCCAAAGTGTCTGGTGGCGGGAGCATCGTGGAACTCGCCAAGAAGCCGTACACGCAAGTGAGGATCACTCGGTACGCAAAGAAGGTCCTTCCCCCGCGTGTGGACAAGCAAGTACCCCTCTTGGATCCGGTAGTGAGAAGGCGCCAGATTAGGAGAGGAGCAATTCGCGTACTTGTCGCGAAACTCGGGGTCGGCTTGGTAGCCGTGGATGAAGCTGTTCTGCAGGTCATCGTCGATCTCGAAGGTCGAGTAGCCCGCGGTACAAAGATCTGGACGCCGTGAAAGAGCATCTGCAAAACGGTTCGACTTCTCGAGAATGTGATCGGGAAAGAAGTCGAACTGGTCAATGAAAGCCATCCATCGAGCGATGGTGCTGTTGATGGTGTCTTGGGTCTTGTAAAAGACCAACGGATTGTTGTCCGTTACCCATTGAAATTGGCTTCGACCAAGGAGGAAGTGCCGCCACCGATTGAGCGCGTGGACGAAGGCGAGGAGCTCTTTCTTGCGTGCATCGTCAATGGAATGCATGACAGACACTTTCTTGCTGAAATACTCGACCGGGTGCTAGTCCACACCAGCATGTTGCTCGAGGACTGCACCAATGCCATAACCTGACGCATCCGTAGCGACGCGCGTAGGCAAAAGCGGGTCGTATATCCGCAAGACCTCTGTGGACTATAGCGCGGCTTTGAGAGCCAAAAATGATTCCCGCGCCTCCTCTCCGAAGTCAAACGGCCGATCCTCGCATTGAAGCTTGGTGAAGTGGGCCGCGATCTTCGAGTACCCTTTGATGAAACGCTGATAGTAGCCGGCGAGACAAAGGAACGAGCGGACATCCGTGACGTTCCCAGGCTCCGGCCACTCTTGGATGGCTTGAATCTTGTCCGATAGTGGACTGATGCCCTCCGGTGTGACAAAATGGCCCAAGTATTCCAGCTCTTGCTGGACAAATTCGCACTTGTCGCGGTTGGCCTTGTACTTGGTGCGGCGGAGCGTCTCCAACACTCGTCGAAGATGCCCAAGATGATCCTCCAATGACCGGCTATAGACGAAAATATTGTCTAAGTAGACCAGCACGAACCGGTCTAACATTTTGCACGGAACTCGTTGGTCATTGCTGCTTGAAAGGTCGCCGGGGCGTTGGTGAAGGCCAAAAGGCATGACCACCCACTCAAAATGCCCGTACAGTGTCTTGAACGCGGACTTGTAGCGATCGTTCGGCCGGATCGAGATTTAATTATATCTCGATTTCAAATCCAACTTAGAAAAATACTTTGCGCCGCCCAATCGCTCAAGGAGATCGTCGATGCGAGGAAGAGGCACCGCATTCTTGACGGTTTGCGCGTTGAGCTTGCGGTAGTCGATACACAATCGTAGATCCTTGTTCTTCTTCAGGATGAAGAGAACCGGTGCACCATATGCGGAGCTGCTAGGGCGGATGCAGCCCTTGGCCAACAAATCGTTGAGTTGTGAGCGGAGGACCTCAAGCTCCTTCTCGCTCATGCTATAGATGCAACCTTTCGGCGCCACGACACCGGCCTCAAGAATGACCTCGTGAGAGATCGGCCGATCCGGCACCACAGCGGTAGGTGACTCGAAGATGTYGGCGAACTCGTCTAGCAACCGCACCACCCGGGGGTCAGAAGACAAGTCYGTGGGTGAAGCGTCGGCTACCGCGACGGTCCGTAGGAAACATAGGCCGATCTCCTCGGGCTCTTGTAAGCGCAAGTCGCCCTGAATGATTTGGCCGTCACCACTTGGCACCGAATCGAAGGGTGCGGTAGAGGAATAGTACACACCACTTCCGCACCGAAGGCGTCGCGAACGCTAAGAGTCCGCCGATGGAAGTTGACCGTGTGATCCGCACTTGCAAGCCAAGGCGTTCCCAGAATGATGTGGAGGACCTCAAGCTCCTCCTCGCTCATGTTATAGATGCAACCTTTCGGCGCCACGACACCGGCCTCAAGAATGATCTCGTGAGAGATCGGCCGATCTGGCACCACACCGGTAGGTGACTCGAAGATGTTGGCGAACTCGTCTAGCAACCGCACCACCCGGGGGTCAGAAGACAAGTCCGTGGGTGAAGCGTCGGCTACCGCGACGGTCCATAGGAAACATAGGCCGATCTCCTCGGGCTCTTGTAAGCGCAAGTCGCCCTGAATGATTTGGCCGTCACCACTTGGCACCGAATCGAAGGGTGCGGTAGAGGAATAGTACACACCACTTCCGCACCGAAGGCGTCGCGAACGCTAAGAGTCCGCCGATGGAAGTTGACCGTGTGATCCGCACTTGCAAGCCAAGGCATTCCCAGAATGATGTCGAAGTCCGTGTCGAGAATATGGAATGTCACCGGTTCGCATGCATGAGGTGCGAAATAAACCGGTACGGCCTCGATGTATCGGTCGAGAAGTTGTTGCGTTTTCCCATCCGCCAACTTGATCGGCGTCGGGTTTGCCTTCCTCCAAACTTGTGCGCCAAGGCCAGCCCTTTGCATAAAGGATTGGCTCATGAAATTGCGAGATGCGCTGCTATCCAGCAAAGCGCTGCAGGACGCTTGCCCAACTTGAATGAGGACATACATGAGCGGTGCGTTGTTATCATCGTACCACTGCGTGCGAAACTCGCGGGCCACCTTGGTAGTATATGTCCCCCACCGTGACTTCGTCATCCGTCGACGAAGTTGGTGGTGCATAGAAGGATAAGTAAGTGTGGAGATGAGCGCATAGTGCTGTGCATTGCGGTCCCGACAAGCGGCCTATGGTCGGGAGAGGAAGCCATGCAAAGTCCTCGAGCGTGAGCGGGTCCAATACCTCTATGTTGAACTCGCGCGCCGAATCGCGTGAAGAACCACTTGAAGACGATAAGTCGCCGCTGCCGAACGGAGAAGAAACCGCACACACTTCTCGTCCTTGAGCTTGAGTACCCAGCGTAGGAACGAGCCGGGCAGCATAGTCCTCAAAAGAAAGTAGAAGAGGAGGACTATCGACTTCCGCGTGCGCCTCGGAATGAAGGCCGGTTACTCGCGAAGAAACCGGTTCCAGAGGCGTCGAGAGTGTTGTCGAGTCACTCTCGGCGGTGCTCAGTTTCCCTGTTTGCCCTTGCCTTTCAATGGGCAGACCAGTGTCTGATGAAGATCGCTGTTGCACCAAAGGCAATAGTGAAATCTCTCACGCTCTTTGAATGCTTGCTCGGAGATGCCATATTGGGACCATGGGGCTGTTGGAGCTGCTGCACCGGGCCCAGGGCTAGATGCGGTGTGTGTCTTCGTCTTGCCGCGTCCTCGGCCTCTGCCGGGGCGGCCACCTTCCCGGGCGGCTGCGAGTCTGTCCCTTTCACTGGTAGACACAACCTCGCTGGTTTGGTTAAACGGTGTTGCCGCTGCGACCACGACCACTCTTCGCCGATGCTGGTCCCTGCTCGGGCCTGATGCAGACGAACGGAGGTTCATAGCCTCCTTGTTCGTAATGATGATCTCCGCGGCCTTGTCAAAAAGTTATGCCGTCGTCGTCAAGGTGTCCTCGACGTGAGTCAGGGCATTACTTAATGCCGGACAGGACCTTGAGATGAAGTAGTGGCGGATGGCTTTGAAGCCCATCTGGATGTCTCGGGCTGACGTCAAGCGTTGGTACTCGGCGATCCAGTCAGTACTCGACAGCGTGCCTTGTTCGAAGACCATGAGCTTGTCCATAGCCTTGATCTCCGGCGGCTCAACCTGGAACCGCTTGTGCCACGCCGCCTTCAGATCATCCCAACTGATCTTGGTGTGCAAGTCGGCAGCCACCACTCCGTGTACCTGGACAAGAGGTTGACCAACCAAGCCTGGCACGCGCCCCCTGAGCGAGAGTACAAGTATGCGTGGTGCTTGTGTTCTTTGACGTTGTGGAGCTGCAGCGTGAGCTCGAACTTGCGGAACCATGGAACCGGATCTGTCTTCGTCAAGTCGCAAAAGATCTCCTGCCTGTCAAACTTTGGAGCTGTCTCGCGCGGCTCTGAACTCGAGGTATTAGCGGTGGTACAAATCTGTTGCTGCAACTGTTGCGTTGCAGTCTGCTGTAACTGTGCGCCGTCCTTGAGGGAGCCGACGTCCATCTCCAATGCTTTGAGGCGATCGGAGGTATTGGAAGAGCTTGCATCGGCGGCGACGACTGGTCGCTGCTCCAGCTGCTGAAGGCGGCCTTGGACTTGAGCTAGCGTGTCGTCGAGGCTGTGGATATCCTCCTGATGTGTAATGCAGGTTGCCAGGAGGTCTGTGAGCTGCGAGAGGAGGAGAGTGATCTTGTTTTCACAATCTTCCAACTTGCCATTCTCGGCCTCGGTCCGCCATGCCGCTGCCGTTGTGAGCAAACTCTGTTGTTACATCTTCGACGCCACACGGGTCCTACCGGACCCGACTTAGGGCCAGGAGGACACAGTAGGGCCTAAAGGCCCGGACTTGGGGTACAGCAGGCCGTAAAGGCCACATTTTGGGACGAGACCCAACGGGCAGGCCCAAACGACATTACCGTTTGGGCTTGGCGACACTCTTGAGGCTGCCGCCCGCCGGTTGGGGCTGAACCGTCAATCTCAACGGTTAAGGGCATGGCCAGTCCTCACAGCATTAAGGTCGGCCTCTGCCCCACCGGTACAAAAGACCGGTCCGGCCTCATTCTGAGGAATCGAGCCACCAGCATTCTGACGGTGCGTTTCGGTTGGCACCAGGAGTTAGCGCCAGCGCTATTTCGAGCGCAGCGCGAGGAGCAGCGGCAGCAGCAGTAGCGCAGCAGCAGCACCAGGGAGCAGCGGCAGCGGCTACTTCGTAGCACGGCGACCATAGCCGCCTGAGGTACAGGAGGCGAGGTTCTCCTCCTCCCTCCTCGTCGCCAGTCCCCCTCTTTCACTCCCTCCTCCTCTGCCATCTCATCTCTTCTTCTTCTTCAGACTTCTTCTTCTTCTCCTTCAGATTTGAGACTTCATACTAGTTGGACAAAGATCAGTGTCGGACTTCGGTGGTAAGAGGCTGTGGTACTTCCGGATTCGAGACTTGGAGATTGTTGGGGTTGATACTCGGCGGCATCACAGTTCGGACACCGTTTACATTAGGACTCTGTATCTCCGACATTGGTGACTTATTGTCATCGACATTTTGATCTTGTTTTATGATATTTTGGACTACCATATCGGTGACCTATCGGATTCTATCTCGGTGACCTGCGGTGCTGTCTACCTCCCCCACCTCCTTTGTCTCTCCTCCCACCTTTCATCTGTGTATGTGTGTACGGGGCCTGAGCATCGTCTATGCATGGCTCAGACCCCACCATCTCACGATTGTATGTGTGTGGAGTGATATCTGTGTGAGTCAGTCTATGTGAGTTAGTTCGTTTATCAG